TACAAATAATATTCCTTGTATTGGCAAGATAGAAACCATGTATCTTCTAATATAATATTATTTTTGGCTTCTGGAGTTAAGTTATTTGAATTTTCTGTGGGAAATCATAGAGTCAGGTTTACCGTGACAGTTTAAAATCTGCTGTACACTAATGGAAATAACTTGGTAACTCATGGCAAGTACAAACAGATATGAAGCAGCTGCTGTATGCCAGGCACTGTGGCCCTGGGGAGCAAAGATAAGCAAGACACAAATTCTGCCCTTAAAACTCAGTCTAGACAATGTCAGTGTTTAATTCTATTGGGAAAGGACAAGTCGTCACCTTCTTTCTTCTTCTTTCTTCCTTCCTCTTTCCTTCCTCCTACCTTCCTCCCCCTTTTCTCCTCCTCCTCCTCCTTCTTCTTTCTCCTCCTTCTCCTCTTCCTCCTCTTCTTCTTCCTTCTTTGTCATGTCTGTTATAGGAACATGCATTTCTACTCCTACTGCAACTACCTAAGATTTAGTTCCTAATAATTTTACGGCTGGATCGTTGTGATCCTTCCCTAATGAATTCTTTCTTACTTATTATCTTTTTTCCTGGCTTTCCTTTAATCTGGCCAGCTGGTCCATCCTGTGCTTTGTCACCGTATTAATCTTCTTAAATATAATTGTCATTCTTTCACTTCCTACTCAAAAGCCATCAACAACAAACCCTGCATTTTATTTCCACTGAATCCCTGTCCACTTTTCCCACCTTGCCTCTGTTGCTCTTCACAAACCCTACATTCTAGCCAGACTGGTCTTATTCAGCAATACCTGAGTATGTCTTTTGCATTCCCCCCTCTGCTCTTGTGTTGTCAATTGTCCTCCTACCCACCTTTTCTTGCCCATCTAAATCCTGCATCCCACATGGATAAGTGCAGATCTTTATGAGGCTTTCTTTGATATCCAAAACTCACAATCACACATTTCTTACTTAATGCCTTTGGAATCCATTATCTACACCAATCATTTGATTTGGGCATTCGCTACTTTATATTTCAACATAAGTCATAAACTCTTTAAAGGTTTTTTAAATCTTAAAAATTTTTTAAATCTTAAAAAATCATAAACTCATCTTAAGCCTCTTTATTCTCCCTACATTACCTAACATAGTACATTGTACTCAATACTGCCTTATATCATACTAAAGCTGGAAGACAATAATTAGAAATAATTCAATCCACCTCTTTGATCTAATAACATCCAAATTATTAATTGGCTGTAGCACTATCTCCCTGACAAAGACCTAGGCTGGGGTATTGTTATCCTGGAGTTAGTATTTCATTTTCTCTTTCTTTTCTCAATTCAGCAAATAATTATCCGGTAGGTATTGTATGTGCAGAGTGATGCTGGGAATTCACCATCCTTTCTTTTGATGTTGATCCTGGATACAGGGGCATAGGAGGAAAAACTGGAAAGTGAGGAAGTTCATCCTGAGAGAAGACCCTGCCTACCTGCACTACTACGACCCTGCTGGGGTAAGATCCTGTGGTTCCTACATACATTCAAGTAAATAAATCCACTTCATTTATAATCGGGGCTTCCTATTCCCCCTCTACTCTGTTGATATCCCCTTTTTCTCTTTACTGGCCCACTTCTTTTTTCTCCCATTCTCCTCTACCTTTTTCTATCTACTTTCAATGCAAAGATCTGAGATCTTGGGCCTCTGAGGTCAGTATAAGCTTAGGGATGGAACAAAATATCACTATATTGTAATTTATTTGGTCAACTCAACATATTGTTTCCCCAGTCTGATATTTTCAGGGGAATTAAATCAGTCCATGGTTTAATATGCATAAAGGTGATAATTCCTCATCCAGATCAACTTGGAAGAGGGTATGAAATCCAGCAATTTGGGCTGTTGATTGTTGAAGAGGGCTTTTTCCACCGTAAAATGAACCACTTTGAAAGCATGAAGACAACTCTGGGTAGGGTGCTCAGCCTCTGCTTGTAGCACTGGGCTATTTGACTTCCCCTTGATGGTTATATTGCTGCATCAGGTGCATGGGACCAAAGAGCTCTGGAAACATGTAGCTCTTTTTTCGTGGGATACAGTGACCTGAGCGTCTCCACCTCTCCTGTCACTTTTCTCTAGATTGAAGTCCAGATTGACTTGCATTTTCTCATCCAGCCTCCTGGGCCCACTGAAGCAGGGTGTGGAGGATCTGGCAGGACCCTAGATTTGGAAGCAGTTTTCTTTAATCTCCTTCTGCTCTTACTTATTTTGGGGACCCTGATGTATACCAGAGTGAGTCTGGCTTTTTCACCAAGAGGATGAGGTCTCTCTCTATGCTGTATTTTGGAAACATAACAAACAACTTCTTTCTTCTTTAGGCAGAAGATCCCCTGGGAGCAATTCACTTGAGAGGCTGTGTGGTGACTTCAGTGGAGAGCAACTCGAATGGTAAGGTGAATTTCTGTGTGAGAGAGGTGTGTCTGCTCAGACTCCCCTCCCACACCTGGACATCCTGGGCCAACATTAATCAATCAATTAATTAATCAGGATAAGCAGGAATGGACCAGGC